CCCCCCCCCCCATTTTCCATTTTCTATCTCCAGTCAACAAATGAATTTCTAATTCAAAATTGACAACTCACCCGTAATTCCGGTCAAGAAAAGGCCGTATCATTTTGATGTTTTTGATTTAATAAAACTGATATTTGTCTTTCCCCTCCCCCTCTCCTTCACTGGTGCTCTACACACCATCGGCTTGCTAAATTTTGGATAACCGTGCAGAAGTGCAGGAGAAGCACCAGTTCCAACCCCACTCATTATGATTCCCTCCTCTGAAATTTTCCTGAGGGTACATGAAATACGTCATGGCAGCTGAAACATGGGAACGGTGATGGCATTCGATCAGTTCACTCACACAAACAATTTGGATCGAACATGCACTTGAACAAAGGACAACACCCACTGCCATTAATTAAACACACAGTACAACTTTAGCATCCCCCCATCACTACTCTGCCCACTTCCCTCAACAAAATTCCTTATTGGAAGAGTTCACAGAATCTCACTGGAATTGTTCCCCACACAAACCGATCAGAATTAACACTGAATTCTCACAATCGACTGCTTCAAAAGCTGACCTGATTCGCATCGTTCTGCGCAGTGCCAACAAATTGCGAACTGTCCAACAACCAACTGTAGCCCTGCGTATGATATGTCATAAAATCAGGGCCAAGATCAGGGCAGCGGCGCTCCCACGCATTCACGTCGCTCGCTTCCTCCAGCATCTCAACATCGCTTACAACGGGTGCTCCAACTTCCCTCTCCGTCAGACTGTTATACCCGCGAACACCGCAAGCATCATCATCCAGTTCTCGCTACAAAACAATCTTGTTTGTTAATCGCTAAGCAATGAATCTGGCAAAAAAAAGAAACACCCACACATTTCAGGGCTGATAAAATTACCTTTACCTAAAGCAAACGAGAGAAGAAACACAGAAAACATAGTTACACATGGAGAGGATGATCCCAACCTTCCAACTCCTAGTCTCACCGGATTTAAAAACATTTTCTATGAGTTCAGATAGGGGAACCGATGAATTTCGCTGCGAATTTGTAGTTCGGTAAATAAGCCTTTGACAAAACCCTGCATCTAATACAATCGTAAGGAAAAAAGGAAAGAATAATGCTATGATGGGCTCCGAAATAACCATCATTTCTCACTCCTTTCAACAGTATTTGACGGAAAATATGAGCAAACTTATCTGAAGAAAATTTTTAAGAAAACGCTACAGTCCTTAAACAGACAATTATCAATTCAGAAAGAAACTGGATCGAATAATTGGCAAGACATGTTGCACACTGATAAGGGGAAGAGGTTTTAGCAAGGAAGATCCGGAAGACACGAGATATGAATGAAAAAAAAAATGGAAAATTTCGGGAAGGAATATTCGCTCCATAAAAGACCGCTGCAGAGAGCGACGAATCAAAGAGAGGAATTTATGTGGTTAGCGGAATGGAGTTACGGTTGGGATAACTTCAACGAGACGAAGTTCCCGCACTCGCCCACGGGCAAAAGA